CGACAGTGCTTACGATATTAGAGTTATGCATATTGATGAGGTCACATTAGCATATATGGTCGTCTGGTTTTTCAGTCGTATCATATGACCCTTTCCTACATCATGGCACTGGTTGCAAGTACCTAACTGCAATAGTGCTTGAGATATTACGGTAATGCTGCGATTTTGGAAAAATATACTGTGTTAGTTGCTCTTTTAAAATTATTAAGGGATAGATGACTAGTAAAAAATTATGCAAACGAGACATAAAAAACAAAATTTGAATGACAGATTGCTACCAGGTTGTGTAACCTGCGTTGCTGATTTTGGGATATGTATTACAACTCATGTATTTGTAACCTGAAGTGGTTCGAACATGGACCAAATTTAGAGAACACAGGTAGGATTGAAGCTACAAATGAGTGTCATCAATAAGTATAAATTTACTACTGGCGTATTTTGTGTGGGAGAAAACGTGAAAATGATGAATAAATAAAGAGTATTTTATTGTGTTATTTGTTTGGTTACTTTAAAAGTCTTCTAAAACTTTAATCATATTCTGAAACGCCATGGTGATTGATTAAGAAATGATAAAGAATTTTAATAACTAATGCAATAATTGAAAAACACGGACAGCGATATTTTACGCTCATGGCCCGAACTACTTACCAGTTTGAGACAGTTTATAATATATATTATAGACGTAAGTTTATAATACATACGAGAACAAATTAGCAAAAAAAATGCCAAGGTCTTACAACAAATCACGATATTGCCTGATCCTCCTCTATTATTAATGTTTCATAATTGCATGACTTGCACGTAATCATTGGCTTATCATAACTATAAGGTAACTATAAAAACAATAACAAATTTGGATTGCATCGAATAAATATTAATTTTAACTATTAAAAGGCCTGTTTGTCTTAACACTATTTCTTATTCGCTATAGATCGGGGATTTTTTAACTGAAGGTAGACGCCTAAACATGGTTGAAAATATTAAGAAGCTTTTCATTTTGCCATAGGTTTCCATAAAAAAATATTATGCAATATCTCAAGGCTGAAAAATCATATTATGTTAATGCTGGAGTATCGTTCTAAATCAAAGAAAAAAGAGAAGAATTAGTTTTAAATGTTTTGAAATTGATTACAAGGAAGTTCGAACCTCAACAAAGGTGGTCACACGTACTGTATAGAATGCGCAACCAAACAGTGATGACGATCATTTCTGTAGCAACTTTTCCATAAACAGTGTTGTTCTTTGTCCAGTAAATATTTAGTTTTGCTATTGAAAGCAGTATTTCTAGATCAGGCATTTCTTATTTAAAGGGCGGTGGTCGTTAGGCAGAGAGTGTTCGAATTTCATGTAAACAAGAAATATATTTGACATGCACTGTGTGCGCCGCTATGACCTCCATGTCGATCAGCATACCGCGCGACGCACCACTCTTTAAGTAGTCTTTTCAAAAAAGGAGCTCAATGTCAAATGTTTTGAAATATATTAAATTTATTCTACAGCGCATATTGACAGAACAAGTAGCCGACATACGAACATACTTAGTGAACTTTACATCAGATAATTTCCACAACGACATTATCAGAAAAAAATAATACTTAACTTATTTTAACACTTAGCTACTCTATTTACATTGGCTGTCTAATCTGTTGATTTATTTCATGAGTAACAGTGATAACATTGTTGTCGACAGTGTTTGCAATGCTTACAAGTGCAAATCGCATGGCTTCTGGTGATGCAATACATAATGCACTAGTGACAAGACAATAAATTAATATTGCACTGCTAAGAATTCAATCGTACATATAATGCCCAGAAGTCAAAAATCAAGGTCACGACGGTCTCTTAAATTGACACGACTGTTGTCTTTGTGGCTAATAGGCGAACAGACAATATCTAAATAATGTTCCACAGGCAGGTCTAGAAATAACCTAGATAGTGAAAGTAAATTGCACCGAATACTCAAAAGGATAAATATTAAAAATTTTGTGGGTATTGAAAGTAATATAGTGGATTGTGGTCGTCGCGTCATACATGTAGATTTTACATGAACAAAGATGATACTTTAAGATGTTGCACAGAAGAATACAGATTGCGACGTTACAAAGATTTACTTTTGTAATTTCTTTGGTTATTGGAATATATCGAAGGAGCATCGGCGGTAATTAGTGTACGTCGCGACATGACAACCCTTTGAGAGAACTATCCTCCGTTCGAAAATTCTCGCGATACACTCGCCTCGGGTAAGCTGTTCTCTGCGAATCTAAATCTGACTTATCTTCGGTGTCAGTGGTTCTATGTTAGTTATTCTTATTCCCGCGCCTCCATTTGAACTCTGCTCTCGATTCAGTTAGATATTTACGTCAATTTATTATTCATTATAGTGGCAGGAATACAGACTAGTTTCAGATACATAATACATTGCCTCATATCCGCCAATCAACCATGTTGTAAATTAAAGAATACGTACATTATATTAGACATGATTAAACTTACTATGTCGTCATTACAAGCAACGCGTTCTGTTTGTAATCACAGTTTCGTAAAATTGGGCAGGTTGTCTACAATAGATGTTATTTCCGGGATCATGTGAGGTCATTATTTATAAAAGAACTCCCAATCCGCTTCGCCCTTGTCATTAGAACTACCGCCGGTGACTGGGAGTTCATTTTAAACTAAAGCGATTACACTGAATTAGGTACGTTCGTGTTGGGTTTCAGTGTGTCTCAAGTGTTTTGGATCTATATAATAATTCTCAACCCGATTCACTCTGGTCAATAAAACTATCGCCAGGTAACTGGGAGTTAATTATTAACTAAGGCGAATACACTGAATGAGGGTCGGGTCTCAGTGATTTAGATCTAAATCAAGAACTGTACCGATGTCTTGAACGATACCTAACAGCCCTAATACGGTCTAATGAGGCTGCAATCTAACTCATAATCTATTCATACTTACATATGTAATAGATAAACATTTATATAGTTTATGAAAATGCCAATTATATTCGGCGATTTCCAATCAATTATAGTGAGCTGGATACATTTATAAGAAAACAACACTTCCAAGAGGGATTCGAATTATTATTGGATAATTGAATTATTCGAATCTCTTCTTGTCAACAGTACCAAAAGTTTGGGAGCAATTCCGGGAGACGCATCAAATTGGTTATTTGATCGGTATATACGGTATATATTGGATTGATATATACAAACTACAAAAACGCTTACCAATGAGTGGATTAAATCACGTGACATACGATGGAAATAATGG